ATGTATAAAAAAAAAAAAAAAAAAAAAAGTGTATGATTCATAAAATTTTAATTTATTGATAGTTCAACTTAAATCATACCAATTGAATTGTATTGATAAAGGTTTTCGAGTCATAAATTGTTTTAACATATATTTAAATTATTCGAGAAGTTAGATTTTTTTTTTTTTATGAGTTCACAATATTAATGGGTCGAGTTTATTACTCAACAAAGTTACATCAATAACCATAAGTGTTTTACACTTAACAGGTTCCAATTTGTTTAGGAGCGAATGGATTATGACAAATAATCCATTCTCGTAAGTGGAAGGTAAGGTGGGATTGTGGTTATAAAAATAAAAAAAAATTAATGATTGACGTTTTTAATCCATCTTGTTCGAAGAACCTGATTCAAATCTCAAACAAATTTTTTGATTTGAGAGATTAATATATTATTTTTCCTTAGATTGATTTTTTTATTATTATTTTGAAGTTTTTAGATATTTTAATCGAAAGATGTTACTCGCTCTTCCGTTATTAAATCAAAATTTTAAAATTTTCATATCATTTAGGATGAAATCATCTTAATTAAGATCCAATTGGTAGGTTTCTGTATTATTATTGAAGAACACTCATGAGATACGAACAATAACCCTCCACATTGGTACTATATTGTCAACCCCAGATGCTTAGTCTTGCTAACATTGTCATTCCTCTAATCTCCTCACTTGACCCAAGAGATCGACAAACACAAGCATAATGTTCAACTTTGTGTACGATCGACCACATGGTGCTTAACCAACAACGACATGACCTAATTGACAACAACCAAATAACAATTCAATGAATGCAACGTCGTCAAGCTAACTGCCTACTTGGATCATCTCTCGAAAGGTCGGCATAAGCAATTATCATATTATTCTTTTCACTTCTATTAAGTTCGTCGAAACATACTCTCGCCCTCGAGTAAGTCAGCCAACAAAACATGGGTCATCAATGACACAGACAACATATGCTCAAGTCTCCAACTCCAGAAAGATTTAGAAAACAATTGACAACTAGTCGCATTCTTATATCATTCAAGTATGACGTTAAAACATGTCCACACTTTATTTATTAATGTTTATCATTATGTGGATTCATACACATAGAGAGCTAGTGATCTCCATTCATTATTTACATATTATTCAATAAACGATCCATTGTTGGCTATAAGTCCCAGTGCGCTTGGCAACCAGGATGAGTGGCGAGAGAAGCACAAATGTACGCGCATCCATGACCAAGTTGGTGTTGGGATGGCCGATGGTGTTGTCCGCTGCAAGCGCCCAACGCTGTTGTGGCATGTCTGCGCACTTAGACACAACCACCGAGGAGCTTAAGAGCGAAGTCAAGCAGACGTTGCTATCGCCATTGCCTCGAATGGTGCCATCCCCATACAGCACCCATCGCTGCCTCTTATCATATTTGCTACTACATGCACTCAACCCCAACGAAAATTCACCATCACCAAATTGTAAACACAAGTTGTTATGCCACTTGATGTTGGCCGCCTTTGGGTAGGGCCGTTCCGTGGCTTCCCAGCCCTGGGACGGCGCACCTTCATCGACTTCCAATGACACATACTGGCCTTGTTTTCCCGTCAAGACGAGCCCCGACTCGTCGTGATGTATGGTTCCGTCGTTCGTTTTGGTCCATTTCATGTCGCTTCTTATCTCTTTCGTACAGTCTACTAGTACGACATTGGTTCCAATGGGTTTAATACCCCGACTATGAGGAACCAAACAATTTCTATCATTATCTGCCCGAATCGTGCCATCATCAACGATTGCCCATAATTGGTCCGATTCCGATTCATCGCAGTCTGTTAATTTAGTTGGAGTGTAATATATGGAAAGTGGCGCTGTCTGTAAACACAGCCCATCTCGACCCACAAGATGTGCGCGTCCTCCGAACGCTCCGTACCCGAGGGCGGCGCCGATGTGGGTGGCGAGGGAGAATGCCACGACCATACACAACAGGACTTGTCTCGTTTTCTCCATCGATTAGAGTTTACTAAAGCTTGAGAAAGTTGAGGTGAAATGAAGTGTATATATAAACATAAACCACACATCAATGGATAATGGATCATTATTGCAAACACAATGATACAACAATTGAAGTGGGAATGATGAATCACAACCCATATATTTCCAAGGGGTAATTTTGGTATTATCGTAAAAAAAAAAAAACAAGGTTAATATCGTCCAAAAAAAATTTACTTTTGTATCTTTAGTAAAATAATTTAAAGTTTATAGATTAATTAAACATTATTTACTTAATTTATTGACGAAAAAATTAATTGGGAGGTTGGATTAAAAAAACATATTTTTTGAAATATTTAATAATTTAATTATTAAAATATTGAGATAATTAAAATTTAATGTCATTTATTATCGAGACTCATGAACAAATCAAGAACTTGTGGGGCGAACTTGTGAAGAAAAGATGGATCGCTATGTCTGCTAATCATCTGTAAGTTGGTTTTGAAAATTCTTTATTTTCCACAATGGAAACGCCTTACCCAATCCCCATCTCTCCCACGAAAACTCGCATTGGATGGATCGGTATAGGTGTGATGGGCGCCGCCATGGCCACTCGTCTCCTCGCCGCCGGATACTCCGTCGCAATTTACGCTCGTTCACCTTCCAAGGCTCTTGATTTACAGTCAAAAGGCGCTTCTCTCGTTAATTCCGCTTCTGAATTAGCGCAGGTCAGTGATATTGTTTTCACAATGGTGGGTCACCCGTCAGATGTTCGACAAAATGTCTTAGAGAAGAATGGGCTCCTACAAGGACTGAATCCTGGTGGAGTCATTGTTGACACCACCAGCAGCCACCCAGCTCTTGCCCGCGAGATATTCGCTGCTGCTCGTGCAAAGGGTCGTGTTAATTTCCACTAAATTACTTGATCAAATCGAACCACCTTGAACTAAGAAGTTTAAGCTTATTTGCTCATATTCTTGGCAGGTTGCTGGGCTGTGGATGCGCCCGTGTCAGGGGGCGACATTGGCGCTAGAGATGGGAAGTTGGCCATTTTTGGGGGTGGTGATGCAGGGGTAGTGAAGTGGTTGTCACCTCTGTTTGAAGCATTGGGGAAAGTGGCATACGTGGGTGAAGCAGGGTGTGGACAGAGCTGCAAGATAGCGAACCAGATAGCGATTGGGGGAAACCTGATGGGGCTGGGTGAAGGGCTGGTGTTCGCTGAGCGGGCGGGGTTGGATGTGAAGCAGTTTGTGGAAGCTTTAAGGGGTGGGGCTGCAGGGTCAATGGCAATGGAGCTGTTTGGTGAGAGGATGATAGAGAGGGACTTTAGGCCTGGTGGGTTTGCTGAGTATATGGTGAAGGATTTGGGAATGGGCGTGGATGTTGTGGAAGAAGGGGAAGATGTGGAGAGGCTTGTAGTGTTGCCAGGGGCTGCACTGGCCAAGCAATTGTTCTCTGCAATGGTGGCCAATGGAGATGGAAAGTTTGGCACTCAAGGGCTAATCTCTGTTGTTCAGAGGCTTAATGGCAAGTAAGTGAATCTGTAAGAAACTTGTTTGTTTATTGCTTGTTTGTGCACTTGGGATTGGAAGCCAATTCTCTGTCTGGCTTGTACTGATAGTTTATGTTTTAAAAAATAAAATATGCTATTGTTTCTTAAAATTATCCTTTACAAGAAAAATATTTTAAGTTGTTTTGGAGTAAGTTCCTAATCCATTTTTGTTCAAAAAATGGTAATACTCCATTAGGATTCAGAGTTTGAATTTAATATTTGATGGTTCCGATATTTTTCTACTTTTCTTGTGACACGACCACGTTATCCACCTAAGAGTGAAGAAAATTCCCACAGACCAACACATAGTGACCTTATAGACTAACACGACTTGACCCACGTACCAACAATAGAGTTTTTATGATAGAGTTATCCAAAATAAAGATACACTTTATTAATATAGGTAATAATTTTAAATTTTGAAGTATTTTTATGTGATTTTAGTTCATTCATATATTCTTTTTTGTCTTGGAGTGGAAATGAATTTTGATAATTGATAGGTTTGGTTATGCTAATGATTACATTTTATGTGTTAATAAATTTACATTTAGTTTAAATGAACATCGTTAATACTTTTGAAATTTCAAAATATCCGGTAACTTTTATAAATATTCCAACTTTTTTCTAACAAAACTTTAAAAATACATTTAGATCTTAAAAAAAAAAAAAGTTTAAAATAACCTTACCATTAACTTTTAGATTTTATTTATTTATTTATTTATTTTTGTTCTAAATGAAAATAATTTATGAGACGTGGATATAAGTTTGTGTTCATACATTGATGGTAATTTTTTTTTTTTTTCATAAAGATTAAGAATTTTAATGTTATTTTGAAATTTTAAGAATATTTTTTTTTAAGCTTAGTACAAGATAAAAAAAAAAAATGGAGGATATTAATGATATTTGAAAAGTTAAAAGGTATTTTAGCATATATTCGTGTTGGCTCAGTTATCATCTTAGACTCTAAATAAACCAAGATCCACGGCGGTGTCTGTTGATCATCTGTAAATTGCTTTTGATAAATCCTTAATCCACCATGGAAACCCCTTACCCAATCCCCATCTCTCCTTCTAAAACTCGCGTTGGATGGATCGGCATAGGTGTGATGGGCGCCGCCATGGCCACTCGTCTCCTCGCCGCCGGATACTCCCTCACAATCTACGCTCGTTCCCCTTCCAAGGCTCTTGATTTACAGTCCAAAGGCGCTTCCCTCGTCAATTCCCCTTCCGAATTAGCTCAGACTTGCGACGTTGTTTTCACAATGGTGGGAAACCCATCAGATGTTCGACAAAATGTCTTACAGAAGAATGGGCTCCTACAAGGACTAAATCCTGGTGGGGTCATCGTTGACACCACCAGCAGCCACCCCGCTCTTGCCCGCGAGATCTTCGCTGCCGCTCGAGCAAAAGGTCTTGTTAATTTTCACTAAATTACTAGATTAAATCAACTCATATTGTCTAGTTTGAGCATAAGTTTAGATGGATTTGGTTTGGGCTTCTCAAAAGTCTTTTGTATGAACCAAGATGTATTTCTAATGTGGGATTCCCTCCCAACATCCTGAACTAAGAAGTTCAAGCTTGTTTACTAATATTCTTGGCAGGTTGCTGGGCTGTGGATGCGCCCGTGTCAGGAGGCGACATTGGCGCTAGGGACGGGAAGCTATCCATTTTTGGGGGTGGCGATGCAGAGGTAGTGAAGTGGTTATCACCTCTGTTTGAAGCATTGGGGAAAGTGACATACGTGGGTGAAGCAGGGTGTGGGCAGAGCTGCAAGATAGCGAACCAGATAACGCTTGTGGGAAACATGATAGGGGTGAGTGAAGGGCTGGTGTTCGCTGAGCAGGCGGGGTTGGATGTGAAGCAGTTTGTGGAAGCTGTGAGGGGCGGGGCAGGAGGGTCGATGGCAATGGAGTTGTTCGGGGGGAGGATGATAGAGAGGGACTTCAGGCCTGGTGGGTATGCTGAGTATATGGTGAAGGATCTGGCAATGTGTGTGGACGTTGTGGAAGAAGGGGAAGATGTGGAGAGGATTGCAGTGCTGCCAGGGGCTGCATTGGCCATGCAATTGTTCTCTGCAATGGTAGCTAATGGAGATGGAAAGATTGGCTCTCAAGGGATAATCTCTGTTATTCAGAGGCTTAATGGTAAGTAAGTGAAGCTATGGGAAAGCCAACTCTCTGTCTGTTATGGTCATCATCTTTTATGACCATTTTAATGTATTAATAAAAACAGCTTTTAATGTTGTCACAATATTATTAAATTTCATCGATTATCTACTTTTATATACTTGTTGCAATTAATTACTTTAGCCTTGTTGTGATATTCCATTAATGATGAGATTTAGTTACATTAATTTTAAGATTTAGTTACATTAATTTTACAAGTTTAGAGATATGATTCTGTAATTTTAGGTTAAATTACAAATATGATGAAAATGGAGAAATGGCTTATGCTACCTAGTGCGTGTGTCTACGATAGCTGCATCGTGAATATATACGATACGACACGACAAACAAGATTGCATTCCTCCACACATCCATCGCCATGACTGTGAGATCTCATATCGTTTGGGTAGGAAAATGAAACATTATTTATAAAGATACGGAAACCTCCTCCTGTTTAAAAACTTTGAAGGGAAGCACGAGAGGAAAAACCCAAAGAAGACAATAGTTACGGGCGGTGATCTTGGGCTGTTACAAATGGTATCAGAGCTAAGAGTTGGACATCGGCGATGTGTCAACGAGGAGGCTGAGCTTCAAAGAAAGGTGGGCCAACAAGGACGCTGGACCCAGAGTGCTACATTGATTAGAGCAGAGAACGAGTGTCCACCACCCGCTAGGCCGTTGGCCCAAGGGTGGATAACATCAATTTCTAAAATTCCAAAATTATGGACAATATGCAAGATTTCGATCACATTCGTAAAAAATGGACACCAGGAAACTTCCATATAGGTTTTTGCTTGATCTTGAACTTCGAAGAATCAAGCCTCTGGATTTATCAGAAGAATGTTGTTGAACTAGATTGATTAACTAAAACAAAGGGATCATCACCAGTATTAATTCTTCGCCCAATCCACTGGATTTATAATCTCAATGGAAAGAGAAGAAGCAGAAGAATGTTCAAGTGAAAGAAAACAGAGGAGCCATCACAAACATGATTCTGTGAAAGTGTGATCGCAGTGCAATTTGTATCTAGAATCATGAACAATTGAGTATGAAATTGTAGTTATTTATGCGTTGATTTCACAGTTTCACAGATTGTTTCATCTCTTTCTGCAACCTAAATAGATTTCGATTCTTCAAGAAATGAAAAGCAAGTAACAATCATATGAGAGATTTAAGGCGGATTCAAGAAGGATGAACCTTATTGGACGAAATGGCCTTCCAGGCAGATCTCATGGAAGCAGTGGCCGAGTTCATCGCCGCCTCCATGTACCTCTTGGAAGCAACCGCGGCGGCTTTCTCCATCAAACTGCCCATCTTGCGAGCCTTCTCCGACTTGTCGATGAGGTCTTGAAGCTCAGCCTCGGCCATCCGATCGAACTCCTCCTCGAACCTTCTGAACTCATCCATAGCATCTTCCATGACGGAATCGAGATAATCCTCAGCCTGTTGCATCGCGATCTCAGCGTCTCGAGTTTCGTTCTGGTGTTGGAGCTCCAAGGCTGCCCAGGAGTTGTAGGCTTCGATCTCGAAGAGCTTCATGAGGTCTTCAATGGTGGAAGGGTCGAAATTCTTGTCTTGTAAAGCTCGATCGGAGAGGAAGGTGAACTGGGAGATGAGAGCTTCCATGGCGGATGAGAATCGAGAACCAGAAGCAAAAAAAGGAGGAATGAAGATCGCGCTGCTGAGTAATGGATTTAAAGCATATCTCTAATCTCCCTTCAACTCATCCAAAAAGAATCTCCGGCTCTACATTTGGATAATATGATCCAATTCGTAGCTAGGGCCGAACAATGATTTACACGAGCTCTTACTTCGATTGAACCCACACGTCGATCCCACGATTCAACGGATAAGGGCCCAAAAAATTTAAGAGTTCTAATCGATCCAAGAACATAATTCAAGATTAAGATCATAAAATTCTAATTTATAATGTTTTGGTAAATAATATTAATCATTTAGAAAGATTCCTCAGTAAAAATAAAAAATAAAAATATTTTAGAACTAAATTAACCAAACAAAATATTAATAATGCTCTAATTTTGTGTAGAGAATTTCAGATTACCACAGTCACGGGGTTCCTCTTCTTCTACTTCTTCTTCTACTTCTTCTTCTTCTTCTTCTTCTTCTTCTTCCTCCATTTTTAATATCTGATCTGAACTGCAAACCAGTTTCGATTCGATTCGATTCGGTTCTCTTAGATTTCGGGGTTGGTAATCGGAGAACATCATGCGCCGGGAAGTGGTATTGCCGTTGTTCGTGCTCTGTTTCTTCGCCGCAGATCTTGTTCGAACTGGCCATTCAATCTGGTTGAACTTACCTGCATCTGGAACCAAGTGCGTCTCCGAGGAAATCCAGACCAACGTTGTTGTTCTTGCCGATTTTGTCGTTGTCGCTGATCATACTCATGCTCCCACCATTTCTGTCAAGGTCAAATTTCGAGATTAAACCTTTTTTCTTCTTTGATTCTTCGTTCGCCAATGTCTCTTTTATCTGTGCCTTGGTGGTATTGTTTTTGATTTGAATTCCTCGGTTTGTTAATTTGTTAGGCTGCATCAAAATCGATAAGCTTATGAAATAAACCCGACGGGATAATGCATTGCTACTTATTTGTTGATTTGTCCTCTCCCGTTTGGTTATGACCGATCAATTTCGAAATTCCTAGAACTTCGATCTATTTCTTGTGAGTCTTGTCCTTTGTTTCTAATCTTGGAGATCAAATTTCATGTTGTCATTGATGAATCAACGGGACCAAGGGATTTTTCCGGCTGTGTTGGTTTCATAAATCCAGTGCGCCAATGGAAGTGTCCTTGTTTCTCTGGCTTGTTGCTCGAGGGAACTAAAGTCTGATGTTCTCACAACGCTTTAGGCATATCTTAGCAGGGAGATGAAAGAAAGGCATCAATTCTATGATAGCCTCTTCTTCACTATTATGGAGTTTTTTCATCCAACTTTAGTTTGTTTGGTTTCTGAGTTTGTCTGTGAAGATTATCTCAACCGGTTTAGAGGAACATAGGGTGTGGATTAGTTTTAAGGGGATGGTACCTTTGAAATCTGCTGCACACCCACAAATGATTTGGTTTTTGCAAATTGTTTTAAATTCTTGTTCAGAAGTCACATATATGACTTCTTGTCTAATGATTGTTTGAGAGGATGATTCATGGGGAAGGTGATCAAAAAGTTGAATCTGGAATTGTTTTAGTATCAAAACTTGACTAGTCTATATATTATTGACACTGATAGATCTTCATTTAAAATTCGATTTGAGTCTCTAGACGATAGATTTTGTCCATTTCTTTAGTAGATTCCATTGAAGGGTTGTATTTTGACCTCTGAATTTGTGACGGAGAATGAAACACCATTTATAAGGGAGTGAAAACCTTTCCCTAGCAGACGCATTTTAAAGCCTTGTGGGGAAACCCGAAAGGGAAAGCTCAAAGAAGACAATATCTACTAGCGGTGGATTTGGGACGTTACAAATGGTATCAGAGCCTGACTGTGTCAGCTTTCTCGCTGTTCCCCGAAAGGAGTAGACACGAGGCGGTGTGCCAGTAAGGACGCTGGGCCTCAAAGGGGGTGAATTTGGTGGGGGTCACACATCGAATTGGAGAAAGGAACGAGTGCCAGCGAGGATGCTGGGCCCCGAAGAGGGGTAGATTGTGATGTCCCACATTGGTTGGGGAGGAGAACAAAACACCCTTTATAAAGGAGTGGAAACCTTCCCCTAGCAGACGCATTTTAAAGCCTTGAGGGGAAGCCCGAAAGGAAAAGCTCAAAGAGGACAATATCTGCTAGCGGTGGATCTGGGACGTCACAGAATTCCTGTTGGACATTTTTGAGTGATCATCTCTCTTGAAAAATAAGCTTATCTACTCATATGATATATGTTATTTCTTGGCTTTTTTCTTACTAATTAATCTAAGACTTGAACTATTCTTATGAAAGTTTAGACTTAGCAGTGCGTCAGGCCATTTGATATGTACTACTGATAAATCCACCGTTCATGGATTGTTGTAAACAACCAGGAGAACTGCACTAGATGTTTTAGCTGAATCCATTGGTTGTGCCTCCTTTTAAGTAATTTATATCTGTCATTTGGTGGTGAAACGGTTTGTCGATTCAATGATGTCGAACATGTTTGAATCTGTGATCTGATTATGATTCCGTAACTTTTAACGCTAGATTAATAATCACATACAGATTCGGTGCAAATCGATGTTTATTCTGTGTGTGTGGAAAAGTTTTCCTTTTAAGTTTTGAAGGCCAGATTCCTTAATGTCTTGATTATATGTTATTGTTTTGCACTTTACTGATTGATGACAGTCTCCTTCAGGTGACATCTCCATACGGGAACAATCTTCATCACTCGGAGAACATAACGCATGGTCAGTTTGCGTTTACGACGAGTGAGGGTGGTAATTACCTAGCCTGTTTCTGGCTGACTGACCACAAGCATGAAGCTGGTACTGAGATAAGTGTCAACCTTGACTGGAGAACAGGGATTGCAGCCAAGGATTGGGAATCAGTCGCAAAAAAAGAGAAGATTGAGGTAACTAACTACTTCCTCCACTTTTCCATATTCCACTACAACTTTTAATATCCATCCGAATCAAACTCGTTCTTATTTAGGGTGTTGAACTCGAGCTGAGGAAACTCGAGGGAGCTGTCGAAGCTATCCATGAAAATCTGCTCTATCTCAGGGACAGGTAACTAAGTTTCCATTATAGAACTGAATGCTTACCTAAATCTAGACAATGTCCACAACCTTCTCCAACTCATTACTCTGGTTTATATAATTTTGGAGTCTTGCAGAGAAGCTATCATGAGGACGGTCAGCGAGAGAACGAACGCACGAGTTGCGTGGTATAGTATCATGTCCTTGGGTGTCTGCATCATTGCTTCTACTCTACAGATATGGTACTTGAAGCGCTTCTTTCAGAAGAAAAAGCTTATTTAGAGAACTTGTTAGTCTACCCTTCTTGTTCTTGCAGAAATAGAATTTGTCTAAGTTATTTAGTTTTCTTTCCTTCCTCGTATGAAATAGAAAAGTTTTGACACGTACTGCAAACCATACAGATTCGTTTGTATTTTGTACTTCAGTTTTTGTTGAGTTGCTTTGAAGCTGATAGAATCTAGTTTAAGACTCAGTGTTCATTATCCTTTATATGATTAGGAATCCTAAAAAAGCAGCTTCACCTTCTATTAGTCCCAAGCTTTTGACATGGCTGACAATCCTTAGCTTTGAAAAATGCTCGACTTATTTGCCTCTCACCCCAACTCGAGAACTACTCGATTGGTTATGATATATATCTTTGACTAAGAGCTTGAAATGTTGTTGAACTAAAAAAATGATCATGCAACTGAGAGGCACCTTTCTGTTTTTCTCCATTTAATTTTCAACTCGAAGGATTCATATAGCATTTTGATGTATCTTGTAGTGACTTGAAACTCTTTTCTTGGTTTTTTTCTTATTTTTTCCGCTTATACTAAACCTATTTGTTTAAACACTGCAAATGAAGAAAATGAAAGAAAGAGAGCTCAATCACCTTCTTTCACTCAATTTCGCGAGTGCTCTTATCAAATGATGTATGTGGGGCTGAGTCATTCCTATAATGCGTTGTTCAATTGGACCTTTTTATTTTGAACGGTAAAGTCTTATTTGAATGGTTGAGAATAACCCAACGATATAAACCATAAAAGGGAGGAATAAGTGCAATTTTCTACACTAATCCTAAAAGCATATTTTTAATATAGAATCCACCCAAACAAAACCGATAACATTTTATAATTTATGGGCAGTGGAAGATGGAAAAACATATGCTAACAAGGCTTCAACTAATGATTTATTATTCAAAATTACTTAATGCATTATCTCTTAAAATTTTATCAATCATACAATCTTTAGAGCTATATTACCATAGTTTTAGTAAAGATGATTTGTAATTATTCCATATTCTTAAAGTTAATCTCTTATCTCTTCGTGCATGAACTTAATTAATTAAGTTATCAACTTCATTGCTTAAGCATTAATTTAGTTTCCACGAACTAAACCCACTTCTAAATTATAAAATGGTGTTTGACTTAGTATTAACTACAGAAAAGGTTTGATCTCAATGAATAGGAAAGGCCGAGTCAATTCATCACTCTCCGCCAAACCCATGAATCAAAAACCAGGCTGTTTGTCCATTTCATTCTCAATTCCATTGGATCTTCCATTTGTTGATGGAGAAGCTTTTCCTTAGCCCTTTTTTGCTGTTGTTTTACACAAATCAAGTGGGGTTTCTCCCTTTATTCTCATCTTCCCCTTTACCCTTCTACTCATTCACCTTTGCTTGTCTTCAACGTTGGGTTGCCCTGTAAAACCCAATCTATTTGAGAATTTTAGGGTGTTTGTAACAAAACCCAGAAGGGGATTTGGGGGATTTGGGGGATTTGGGTGATGTGTTACAGATGCTCTGCAAATGGGGAAAGTGGAGGAGCGAAATCTGCCGGTGCAGCAGCGTCGTGAGGTGGCTCACTCTTCTGGGTGTCTTTGTGGTGAATGTTCGATTTGTTTTGATAGAGTTTGTAAGGAGTTGAATTTCAAGTGTTTGTTGGTTTTGGTTTTGGGGTTTGTGGTGTTTGTGCCTGGATTCTTTTGGCTTCTTCCTTTTCATGAAAGAAATTCAGGGTTTGAAGCGAAAGACGCCATTAAACTCAGTGGTATGTATGTATGTATGTATGTATATGTCTTTCGATTCCCATTTCTCTTATTCTGTTTTGGGATTGGATGATTTGTGTAGCAATTTCTTGATGGCGTCTTATACTTCTCTGATGATTTTGGATGATCTTGCTGTTTTCTAATGATGTTTTGACAACAGGATTGTGCTTTAGTTCAATTCATCTACCATTTTTAGCTTAGATTTGCTAGGATCAGGCTTGTGTTCTTCCCTATGTTAACTTTGAAACTCCGTCTTCCTAGTGGACTCGTTTTGAAACTTTGAGGGAAAACCCGCTAGGATTTGACTGTTACAAATGGTATCAAAGCCGAACACTGTACGGTGTGCCAGTGAGGACACTAGGTCTCCAAGGGGAGTGGATTATGAGATCCAACATCGGTTGGAGAGGGGAACGAATCATTTCTTGTAAGGGTGTGAAAATCTCTCCCTACTGGATACGTTTTAAAACCTTGAGGGAAAGCCTGTAAGGAAAAACCTTAAAAGGACAACATTTACTAGCAATGAGTTTGGACAGTTACAAATAGTATCAAAGCCAAACACCGGGCGGTGTGTCATCGATAACGTTGGACCCCAAAAGGGAGTGAATCGTGAGATCCCACATCGATTGTAGAAGAGAACGAATCATTCCTTATAAGAGTGTAGAAACCTCTCCTTAGTGGACGTGTTTTAAAACCTTTAAGGGGAAGCCTGGAATGGAAAATTCAAAGAGGACAATATCTACTAGCGATGGGTCTGAGCTGTTACAAATAGTATCAGAGCCAAACACCGGGCGGTGAGCCATCGGGGACGTTGGGCCCCAAAAGGGAGTGGATTGTGAGATCCCACACATCGATTGTAGAGGGAAACGAATCATTCCTTATAAGAGTGTGGAAATCTCTCCCTAGTAGATACATTTTAAAACTTAGGCTATCCTTTTGGTTCAAGTTTGATTTTGTATGAATATGGTACTCATAAACTTTTCTTTCTCCTTTTTCCAGCCACAGTTCACGTGTATTTCGTTCTTGAGAAGCCTGTGAAGGAGCTTCTCCCTCATATCAAGAGATTAGAGTTTGATATCAATGGTGAACTAGACATTCCTAATGTCAAGGTTTTGTGCTGCTCTTTTCTGTTGGATTTAGCTTTCTTAAGTATGATCCCTTATGACTAAGGGCCGTCGTATTTCGTACCAGGTTGCCATTCTATCCATGCACGACGTAGGCGAGTTGAACAGGACATACGTGGTTTTCGGTCTTCTTTCTGAATACTTAACTGCTCCAATAAATCCAGTGTCCTTAAGTCTGCTGAGATCGTATTTATATGACCTTTACCTTCGCGAGTCGAACCTTACTTTGACGTCATCGATTTTTGGACAGCCATCAGTATTCGAAATCCTGAGGTTTCCTGGGGGAATCTCTATAATCCCATTTCAACATGCTTCAATATGGCAGTTCCCCCAGATTGTGTTTAACTTCACTCTTACGAACTCTATTTCTGAAATGCTCGACAAATTCGTCGAGTTCAGGAACGAGATGAAGCTTGGATTGCATCTGAGGCGCTACGAGGTATTAAAACCTGTTCGAGTTTATCGAACGTAAGCTATAGACATTGAGTTGTGATGTTAGTTCCATGTATGGAGTTGAGTAATGGATGCTGGATTTCACTCTTTCTTGTCTTACAGAATGTGTATTTTCAAATAACAAACACGATTGGATCGACAATGCAACCGCTCGTAGTTGTTCAAGCTTCTATTTCTTCGGAGTTGGGGCGCATGACATCACAGAGATTACAGCAGTTGGCTGCAATCATCAACGCCTCTCCCAAACGAAATCTTGGCCTTGATTACTCGGTCTTCGGAGAAGTCGAAAGTGTCAGTTTGTCTTCGTATCTGAGGAGAACCTCTAAAGCTAGACCACCTACTCTTTCTCCAGCTCCTGCCCCAGCTCCTGGTCATCATGTAGAACTACAGATTGCTCCACATCGTTCAAGGTCATCGTCCCATGGTCTTGCACCCCAACGACATGTAAATCGTTACCCACCTCGTTCTTCTCCGGCTCCTGCACATTCCTCTCGTGGACATTCAATACCTCCAATCTCCTATCCGAAGTCTACAAGTCTGATTGTTCCTCCGGCCGATCAACCTGGGGTTTCTTCGTCGTTGCCCCCTGATCTGTTACCTAAACCGAAGCCTTCTTTTCGGTCCGAATCAGGGCAGACAAAGGAAGATGTCCATAGAGTTTGGCCGCCGCCCATTGATTCGTCTCGTCCAGATCAAGTAAGTTTTGACATACTTTGTTAGATCATAAAGCTAAAGGCATGTACATTTGCCTTTGTATCTATCAGAGCTCCAACTCATTCATTACTCATCTTTGTAGGATTAAAATCCATCAATCTCCTTCATCTTGACATATCCATCATCACACTGAAGAACACAAACGATACAACATACGTCGGGTTGGAGCGGATCGGGTACTCATTTTTGGTTCTACGAGCAACAGAAGGCGCCTCTGCAAACATTTCTAACAACAAACAGGTCTTTTCCTCCCAAAAAGGAGAGTGTTAAGTGTAGATAGGGGATGGGGATGTTGTTTTCCAAAGGGGAAGCAAGTCCTGTAGGTGTAGGGTGTTCTAAAACATATAATTATGAGATGGGATTTTGCAGATCTCAAGAGGAACCTAATGGTAAGCTGTAGAGTTCTGAAATAAGGTTCCTTTTGACTCTCTGCAATTTCTATACACACATATTACAACAAGTTTAATAAGGAAAGCAAAATATGTTAGTACACATAGAAATGTCTATTTATCTTATTACCCTATTCATGTTTTCGAGGTTTTAAAATGTGTTAATTAGGGAAAGGTTTTTACACTCTTATAAGGAATGCTTTTCATTACTCTCTCCAACCGATATGGGACCTCATAATCCACTTCTTTAGGGGCCTAGTGTCCTCGCTGGCACACATTCATTTTGTTCTCCTCTCCAACCGATATGGGGACCTCAGTATCCACTCCTTTAGGGGTCCAGTGTCCTCGCTGGCACACATTCATTTTGTGCCCCTCTCCAACCGATATGGGGATTTCAGAATCCACCCCTTTAGGGGCCCAGTGTCCTCGTTGGCACATATTCATGTTGTTCCTCTCTCCAACCGATATGGGAACCTCATAATCCACCCCTTAGGGGCCAGCGTCCTTGCTGGCACACCATCCAGTGTCTGACTTTGATACCATTTGTAACCGTCTAAAGTCACCACTAGCAAATATTGTTTTTTGGGTTTACCTTTCCAGGCTTTTCTCATAATTTTTAAAACACCTCTACTAGAAGGAGAGATTTTCATAATCTTATAATAAATGTTTCGTTCTCATTCACAAACGATGTGGGACCTCACATATATATTTCTATAAGTTCGGGAGTAAATATAAATAAATAAACGAACCTAATGAAAAAAAAAAAAAAAAAAAAGAAGTGATAGATACGTACATGGGTGGGTGTGTCAATTAGCCAGCCAAGAGTACATCCACGAATCTGCTGCAATATTTGGCTAATTTGTATATTTATTGGTGTAAATTTGAAATTTTAATTTTTTTTTTCATGATCTTTACGTTAGTTATGAGATCATAATTGCAATAAAGAAAAAATTTAAAAATCTTACGTTCCAAGGCGAGGAGATTATCGCCATAATCGGCGAACCCTAGCCGGCGAGCCAAATCGCCGATCACACGGAACGGCCACCATGAACGCACCACATTCCACCAGCCATTCCCTCTTCCGTCTCCTTCTTCCACAGATTCCTCAGAACTCTCACCATCAATGGCGTTCTGTAGTGTGTACCGGCAAATAGGGCAAGTATTATGGATTCTCAACCAAGGAACAATGCAATCCGAATGGTAAAAATGTCTACACGGCAACTCCCTCACTTCCCCTCCGATTTCGAATTCCTCTTTACAAATCGCACAGCTCGAATCCTTCTGCAGATGCGACTCCGTAATTTTCACCCTCCGAATCGCCTCCATGTCGGAATTCGCCGCGGGATTGGAGTTTTCCGATGGTCTGGAGAATTGGAGAGTAATCCAAGAATCCAGAGAATGAGGATCGTCAGTTTCGAACGTCCACCGCGGGATCATCCGGCGAGAATTCGTGTTGGTCATGTGATTTCCGGAATCTTGAAGAAAATTAGAAGGATCGCCGTGGAATCGTGCCCTAACGACGTCCAATTCATGGCGGAGATTTCTGGAGCAAAAGGGGCAAGTGATGGAAATTTCCAGAGGATTTCCCAAGCTGATTCTGATGATTCGTCGACAGATTCGACACCAGTAGTAATGGACGGTTCTGGTCCTAGGGATTCCGGCATTGAAGGCGATTCGAGGTCTAAAATTTTGAGACATGGAGATACGAATTTGAGGTAGTTTCTTTTGAATCGAAAATTCGAGAAAGAAGAGAAGAATTTATAGGAAGAAGATTGATTGAGGAAGAGGAAGTAGAGATGGAGAAGGAATGGCTTGAAAGGCGACTGGAAAGTTATTCCTTGTCGTATTCCTCGAAGAGACGGAAGATTTGGAGCTTTTTACAGGTAATGTTCATGAAATGGATTTGTATTCTCTCTTCATCTTCAAGCTCTGTTCATAGTTGCAGAGATTAATATGAAGAAGATTATGCCTTCTCCGCATTCGGTTCACCCTAATCGCCACCGTAACCTGCCCAAGAAGAACAGAAAGGCCAACCGCCGGTTGAATCGCCAGCTTTGTGCATGGTTTCCATCTCCAATGGCGATTCAACCAGCCGGAGCCAAAGGAAATTGCAGCACCGCGCGTGCTGCGTTGTCATGGAGATTTGAGAGACACGACTGAGGGGAACAATCAGCTGGAAACGGCTGCTAATACTCCGGCTGAGGAGCAGACGGAGGAATCTGCCTGAGGAAGGGCATTCCCATCTGATTAGCTAGTTGATGAGGCAATAGCTTACCAAAGCGATGATTAGTAGCTGGACCGAGAGGATGATCAGCCACACTGGGAATGAGACACGAGACACGGCCCAAAATCCTACGGAAGGCAGCAGTGGGAAATTTTCTACAATGGACGAAAGCCTAACGAAGCAATACTGCGTAGAGGTAGAAGACCTACGGGTCGTGAACTTCTTTTTCCAAAAAAGAAGCAATGGCGGTATCTGGAGAATAAGCATCCAACGGTAATACAAAGGATGCAAGTGATGTCATGTCAGAATCATCGGATGATGTTTATTGTCTTGAATTCTCATTGAAATTCATATTTTAGTAGAACTCGAGAATTTTTTAACTATTCTAAATTCTAAATTCACATCCATAAGAAAAATCATCTGAATATCAATTACTTTCTAATATTTATTTTTATTCACGTAAATAAAATAAATTAATTTTAAATAACTAAAAAAAATTTGTATTTTAAAATTTAACAAAAAAATTCAAAGAATTAAAAAAATAAAATAAAATAATTACAATATGAATTTTAACAATTAAATCTAACTTCGTTTTCCCATAAAGTTAGGATTTTATACCTTTCTTCTTTACAAAACAATTTTAGTAGGTTTTGCTTGACTTCACATTTTCATTAATATTCTTCCATTAAAATTTTTAAATATATTTCTTTAAATAAAAAATTAAATATTTTGATGTGTGCACAAAACAAGCGTCACACAATTTTCTTTCGGTTGATTTGTTGGTTGAATTAGAGCAATGATATAATTATTATTATATTATTATAAGAGTGCTGACACTACCAAGGTAAATAATTTGATTAAATAATTAAAAAACTATAATTTGAATTGTATTAAAATAAAACCCATTGGGACAGACACAAAAACCTCCGCCTGCAATTGAAATCAAAGCTCACACTTTCTTCCTCCTCTTCTTCTTCTTCTTCTTCTTCTTCTTCCATGGCTCCTCCTCTCTCTTCTATTTCCCGCCCCTTTTCTTCCCCAATTACGAACCCTAATCTCAATTTCACACACAGATACACTCTTCCATTACGCACCCAAACTCTACGTTTCACTTCAAATTCTTCGTCTTCATCGTCGCCTCCACAGCCGCCGCCGCCGCCGCCGGATCCCATTCCCGAGAAGAAGTCCTTCGCTGTAGCCACCGGGGACCTCTTATTGGGGCTGGCGGCGAGGTTGATTAGTCGTTCCTCCAAAAAAAGTTCGAATGGGGTTGCTATGTTCGAGAATCGCAGTGGAACCAAGAGCGAGTACGAGGAGAGAATTGGAGCGGTGGTTGAGGATGAGATTCAGCCTGATGTAGTGTGGGAGCAGCGGATTAAGGATGTTAAGGCTGAGCGAGAGCGGCGAGTCGTTACCAGTCCAGGGTTTAGCTTCTCTGCCGCTGGTTTGTTGTTTCCATATCATCTTGGAGTTGCGAAATTTCTCATTGAGCATAGCTATATCAAGGTTCTTCTGATCCTTTTTTAACATTTCTTCTTAACGTGTTCGAGAATTTTGGTTGTGATTCTCTTTGTGTCTCTGTTGATGGGTTTTGTTGAACTCTGAATTGATGATATGCTTCAATTGGAAGCAATTGGCCTTCTGGAAGAGTAGGGATTTATAAGAATTCATTGTTTTTGATATATATGCTGTGGAATATGAATTTTCTCCGGCTCCGGCTCTCTTAGCGTTTAAGAAAATATTTACCAGCATAAACATGTAGCTAAAAATTTCCATTACTTAACTAATCCTGGATGCTTAAGTTTAGCAGTATGAGTGTTCTACATTTGAAGTTTATTGATTGCAATTTGCTAGTTGGAAATGCAACTAGAAAGGTTTGTTTTTGTAAGTACTTTGAATGTATTGCCATTCAGATGTCACTGGATTATAGATGCCCATTTAACAACGAAAAAATAGAGAAGGGTGCGGGCAAATGTTTCTCTCCGTTAGCTAAATGAGGCTAGGGACGGGGATTATATTCTCCGTCCCTGTTCTCAGGCTTTATATACATCAAAACTAATACACAAATCTAACCTATTATATATTTATATTATATTATGCATACATATTTCTTGCTTCCATTTAAGTTGAGTTAGTATGTTTATTTTTTAAAAGTGTTTTAGACTTGTATTATTAAAATTTGAATTTTTAGAAATTAGATTGGTAGGACATTATATGTCCATATAATAAGATGTTTAACATTTTTTTAGAAATTAATATTGAAAAATGAAAATTACCCATTAAACCGTCTCTTTAAAGGAATAATTTTTAAAAAAATTATAATAGTAACGGGAAAAAATTCCTCACGGGAACCTGGTCCTTGGAAATTTTTCAAGGGAAATCTCGATGAAAATAAATGGTGAATTTTACGAAAATGTGGATTAAAATAGGCGGCGGGGAAGGCTTCTTTGTCCCTACCTCACCCCGTGAACATCTCTAATTGTTATAGAATGTTTTAGACCCTACCTCACCCCGTGAACATCTCTAATTGTTATAGAATGTTTTAGACTTTTAGTTAAAGCTTGAAGTTAGGAGAGAAAATGTCTCAGGAGGGTTTGCTACTGTTTTGTGATGCACATATTTATCTTGCTCTTTCGTTTATCTTCTTGTGGTACTGAAGTGTTTGTAATTATATAGGAAACGACTCCATTAGCTGGAGCTTCAGCTGGTGCCATTGTCTGTGCCGTTATTGCCTCTGGAGCCAGTATGAAGGAGGCTTTAGAAGCTACTAAACTTCTGGCCGAAGACTGCAGGAGTAGAGGGACTGCATTTCGCCTTGGGGTCAGTAGGCCATTTCATTCATTTTCTTTATTGTTTGTGGTAAAATCTTGAGTGGAAAGACCTATCGCTTGAATTTCATTTAGAAGAACTCCATTTCTTTTTTATTCCTGATATTTGTATATCGTGTATCGTAAGTTTCAATTTATCCTCTTGCTCTAGGATCATTGTGAAATGGGAGATTTGCAATTCTTTCTTAACTCATGTACTGGTTTGAATTTTAATGTTTTCTCATCTAAATCCTCAGGCTGTACTCAGGGAAGTTCTTGAAAAGTTTCTTCCAGATGATGTACATATTAGGTGCAATGGAAGGGTCCGTGGTATGCATCCCTATTCGTTCTCTTTGGTCTCCGAACAAAATCACTAGAAGAAAGGGGAAAATGTTCTATTACTGACATCGATCAACTTGATTATTGCAATCTGAGTTTACTTTTGGTGGCTTTGATCTAATATATTATTGTTCGTTTGCATAATCTGATTGGAGAGATTTGGGAAATTTTTTAATTCTCATTTTTATACATCTGTTATGTTCCAGTTGCTGTTACTCAAGTTTTTTGGAGGCCCAGAGGCTTGTTGGTGGATCAGTTTGATTCAAAAGATGATCTCATCAATGCAGTTTTCACTTCTTCCTTTATTCCAGGGTGGGTATTTTAGTTTCACATCCTCTTGAATGTTCTTACTTTTCCTAGTTGGGTAAATGACCCTGAGCTGAAATAACGCTTTTGTGTAGATACCTAGCGCCAAGACCCGTCACCGTGTTTCGGAATAGACTATGCATTGATGGTGGTCTAACATTGTTCATGCCACCTACTTCTGCCTCTCAAACGGTATTTACTTGATAAATTTCTCAATGGTTTTTCGTATTTCAGTCACCCTGAAATTTTGCTTTTGGACGGTGTCGCAGGTGCGTGTATGTGCTTTCCCCGCTACCCGATTGGGCTTTGAAGGGATTGGGATCAGTCCAGACTGCAACCCTGAAAACAGAGCTGGGCCAAGAGAGGTAAATGAGTTCGACAAAACTCGTCCAACAAGTAGATACATTGTTGTTTTCTCTTTGTAGTTTGATCAAACTCTTACATGTTCTGCATCATATCAGCTTTTCAACTGGGCTCTTGAACCAGCAGAAGATTACATTCTAGACCGTCTCTTTGACCTCGGATATCAAGATGCAGCTGTTTGGGCGAAGGATAATCCTGTTGAAAAGCTGGTGGAAGACGAAAGGCTCGGTTGAGGGCGCGGTTGGAACTAGCTGAAGCATAAAATTATGATGGCGAATCAATCTAAATGGAAGATGTTGCAGGCTTGGTGGTAAGTGCATGCCTTAAACCCAAAACTTTTTGGATTGCTGCTGATCTTACTGCCTCAAAATGGTTAGGTACACATATATGAATCCCTTTAACAGAATAGAACAAAAGCCTTCATTCATGAATGTGAAGATAAAAATAATTATACAGGTAGATATCAAAAGTCCTGAGTTTATGATGGCCAAGTACAACATTCTCAGGATTTACATGATCATTTTGCTGCTATTTTACTACATTCTCAGTACAAGAACAACATTCTTGTATTTTGTTTTCTCCATACAGTACATATATACATATATATATATATATATCATTTCTTTTTCTTTGAACATCTTTCCATCTGAATTGGAAATAAATTGGTTGCATTAGTTGATTGTTTTTTTCTTTCCTTTTTCCCTTTTGTTGTCTCCATGTTGGTTGGCTTTGTTTTTGTACAGCTCTCTAAATTTTCTTTCATTTCAATCAAAGCTGTTTTCTTCATTTAAGAAAAGGTCTATTGGTTCAGTTTGATTAGTCGATCCGTAGGCAATAGAGTCGATCTGTGGATAGGTACAAACAAATATAATGAATCACATAGATACTAGTGCGCGGGGGCGGGGGAAGCCTGAAGGGGATGAATGTCTAAGCGGTTGGAAAGAGTCGGTCTTGAAAATCGAAGTATTACTTGGATTACCGGGGTTTGAATCCCGATGTAGCTTCCAGTACCATATTTATAATTTAATATTTTGGGAGAGAAAAAAAAAAAGGCAGAACTTGATTATTCTTCTTGGCTTTCACGTTTTGAGAGCTCATCAAACTCATCAAAACTCCTTGGACATTCAATACCCCTTCCATAGATGTGGCCGCATTTCTCGCAAAAATGCAGGTCACCAATACACATAATTAAACATCTTCTAATCTCAGAACAACAAGAACACTAGCACACTTTCCAACATTAGAAAAGAAACAAAGCCTTAATTAAGAACTAATTCATATAGGAATCAGCTTATTAATTATAAAAGTTTCTTGCGAGCTTTAATGGCGATCTTCATGCCAGCCCTGCAGTGGCCAGGGTAGCTGCAGATGAAATAGTTGTATCCTTCCACAAGTCTGATTCTGTCTTTTCCTGTTTGGTAAACCTTTGCGTCTCTTGTTTTTAGGCACCAATTGTAAGCCACTCTGTTCTTCAACGCCACCACGTTGTGTGCCATTGCTGGATAATTGAATACTGCAATGCATTTTTGTGAGAATGGATTCAATAAAAGTGATTTCGATGAACTTTCCCTTTCGAGCTTCTCTCAAGAATTTTTAAAATGCGTTTGCTAGGGAGAGGTTTCCACACCCTTATAAAGTATTTCGTTCTCCTCCTCAACCGATAAGAGATTTCACAGAAAGAACATACGTAAATTTTCATTAGACAAATATGTAAACGATGAACTTACCAAGAACGTCACCAGCACGGAAAGTCTTTCCCTTAGTCCAATTAGTAACATTAAAGGTCCATCCTTTGGAACCTCCAACAAAGTAATACTTAGCCTGAGCCATCTCACAGTGCATGAAGAACAGGCAAAGCAACAAAGTGAAAGCCATTGCACTGCCTCTTCCCTCCGCCATTGTTTTCTCAACTTTTAGAGTGTTTAGCGCCAAGGGAGCTTTAGAATGGAAAAGAAGATGAGATGAAAGGGAAGAGATTGCCCCTTTTTATACTCAAATTTTTTGAAAGCTTTTATTTTTAATTATAAATTATTGAAAAAATTATATATATATATATATATATATTTTTCTTTTTCTTTTTTTTTTTATAGCTCAGATGGACTTTCACTCCATCCCCATGTGGGGGATTTATTATGATTTGTATTAAAAATTAATTTTTGGTTGATTTTTTAAAACGAGTCAAGTTTGAGTCGAAGCCCAAACTCACCTCGTCGACCTCACGAGGGATACGCACCCTACGTGCCCCCACTCGTGCTATCGTATTGCAACTCAATCTAATCCCCTTTTAACCTATTTCAAAAAGAAATCGGTGAAACTGCTAAAAGGTCATATAAATACTCTTTAGCTCGCAGAAGCTAAGTCCTCATTTCGTTAAAAGGAATCTTGCTAATTTAAGCATTAGAGCGTGTATGACAAGCACCAAACTATATGCTTTTGCAAGTGATGTTCTTTCCTTCGAGGATCACTAAACGCATAAGGCACGGGAAGGAATATTGATTACATTCCTACTTATTATTAAACAAATAATTACTTAGATCCACACATTAAGGAGTTTTAAATTATAATTTCATACTTAACGTTTGTTTAATCAAAGATAGACCAATTTCCTAAATTCTTCTCTATAAAAAAAATGTATTGATTTCTTAGTATATGGCAATAGTTCGGTGAATAGTCTAAAAAGGTTTATAAATAGAAAAAAGATTGAGTTTTGAGATGCATAGTACTTCCGCTCGAGTCTAGGCTACTACTTGACCCTAAGTTGGCTCAAAGAAAAGCGGGAAACTTTTTTCTGGTTATTCCGTTATATATTATTTTGTTAGTTAACTATTATTAAAAATAACGTTTCTACTCGTTTTTTTTTTTAAACTAGTTTGAATTTTTTCAAATTTCTATCCAAATTTTAAAATTTTTGTTTTGAGAAGTTTAATTAATTTAATTGAATTAAATCACAAATTTCAAAAAGTCAAACAAAAATGTTGCCTTAGGAATTGGCCCTATGACTTTAATACAGCTTAGCACGTTGTGTCTAGTCTAATGGTCAACCTAGGAAAGGTCTAAAATTGCTTTTTTTTTTTTTTTTTTTTTA